GACTGAACATTGATCTCTTGGAAGTGTATAACTGACCTAAAGATTAATGGCTTGGACTCGTCTTGAAGTGCATTGAAATGTTTCTTTTGGTTTAAGAGAAACTGAAGAAGTTGGTGAATTGCGCGCAAAACTTCTTCGTGCTGAAATCGAACTCTCACAACGAACCGAAGAGAGTGCAATTTACTGCCGACAAATACAAGAATTTCAACTAACTCTCAGTCAAATGACTGCACAATACAAAGAGGTATTCATGAGTTTGATTTTTTTACGACTATTTTTTTGTTTTCTGCAAAGTGAACCGAGTTGAGAAGACTATTGAAACATTGTCCTTGCTAATGCTTACGATTAGCAAGCTGTTTGTAAAGCGAACAACTCATCAGCAACACAGAGAAGCATTGGTAACCGAATTAAATTTGGGTTCGTTTGGAATCCGAACGAATGCCGTTTTTATGTGATTCTGAAATTCGTTATTTTGATCAGAGTTCAAATTATTCTATTGCATTGCGACCAAATCCGTTTTTGACTTTCTGTAATTCGAGTGTTCCGATCGAATTTCAAAATTATTCGATTGGAATTCGATTGAGTATATCCGAAAACTTTTAAACTCCAGTGATTGCTGGAACTTCGAAAAAAAAACACAAGCAGAGAATTGAATCGAATGAACTTCGGTCAATTATTATCGCACTAGTGATGAGGCATTAGAATGCTGCCTGGTTGTGATGAAATGAAAACCTGAATAGTCTCGGAAAGTGTTGTTGCTGATTGTTTTGAATATGGCTGCAAATAATATTTCCAAATAATATCTCTCTATTCCCAGCAAACTGCTATGTTCTTTTCGAGTGTCTGTTTTTCGAGTTTTTGCCGTCAGAACATAATTGATAATTTAATCCGTATGACATAATAGATTGTTTGTTGTATGCAAGGTGACTGCTGATAATCATGAAAGCGATTCACTGCAATAAATCACTCTCTCAATCGATTCCATCAATTCCTTTATTTTAAACTTTAATTTCGAACAATCTCGTTTATTGAATTGCATCAGTGCAATGTTATTATTATTGTTGTGATATCACCATAATGGAACAGCGAATTCATCGATCGCGTCATTTTTTCTCACTATCGTCGCATCGCCTCTACTATAAATTTCTATCAGCAATTGTTTTTTTTCCGTTTCGTGAAGCGAATCACAATTGCGATTCAACCCTTTTTTTGTTCGGATGGATCGTATGCTGGTGAATGTTGACACTCCAGCGATTAAAAGTATCAATCTAGCGATTAGAAACTATTTTCGCTTTTTTCAGGCCTGTGAAATGTACGAGATTGTCAAATCTGAGAGAGATTCAGCGCAGCAATCACTTCATGAAGCGCGGAAGAATTTCTCTGAATTCCAAGCGGATTTTCAGAAAGAAGTAAAAAGTGATTTCGATAAGAAGGTACGTT